TTTTTGTTTACATATGCATTTTATTTATTGAATCTTCTCTGAATTGAGACTAACAATAAGTATATAAAATCTTAAATTAAAACTATATCTGACAGTCAAGATGACTGACGCGAGATGAAAGGGCTCTAATAACTATTGCTGAGCTGGAAGGTCATTTAGTTGTAATCGGGTGCGGTTGGGAACCCTGGCTAGGCCCCTGGCGAGCTGGTTTAGATGAGAAGCTAGTTTGGTGTGGTAGGACGCTTTTTGCTTTGATATTTCATCTCTTACGGGTAGAATGCCAAGATCTCTGTGGATGTTGTCGTTCCGAACATACCAAGGTGCCCCAGTGATAGTTCTCAGGATTTTTGATTGTGCCCGCTGGATAATATCGGTGTTACTACTGCTCGCGTTTCCCCACAACTGGGAGCCGTAAGTCCAGAATGGCTTAAGCGTTGAATTGTAGAGCAGGACCTTGAAGTCTAGGCAGAGGGGGATCGAGCGTTTATGAACCAATGAAGGCTATTAGATTTTAGTTTTAGATAAATTTTCTTAGCTTCGATATGTCTCCGCCATGTAAGTCTCCTGTCTAGGTGGACGCCAAGGTACGTTACATCGTCAGCTTGTGGGAGTGGCGTGTTATTCAGAGTTAGCGGGGGACACGTTTGTCTGTTAAGAGTAAACGTTAAGTGTTTAAACTTTTGCGCATTTATTTTTATACGCCAGTCTGATAATCACCTCGCCACTACCACGAGATAATCAGCTAGTAGTGCTGTTGCCTGAATTGGGCATTTGAACCGATTTAGGATCGCGGTATCGTCTGCGAATGTAGAAGTAGTTAGTCGCTCGTTCGTGGGAATATCTGCGGTGTAAAGGAGAAATAGAGTTGGACCAAGGGCGCTACCTTGAGGAACTCCAGCATCTATCGTGTAATCGTCGGATATTGTAGTGTTACATCTCACGGCGAAGGTTCTTTTGTAAAGGTACGATTCAAGTATCCTGTGAGTGTTTTCCTGTAGTAACGTTCTGATTTTATGCATAAGGCCATCGAGCCAGACTCGGTCGAAAGCCTGCGCAACGTCAATGAATACCGCACTGCAGTATTCTCGAAGCTCGAATGCAGTTCGTATTTCTGTTGTTAATCTATTGACTTGCTCTATTGTTCCATGGCTTTCTCGAAAGCCAAATTGATGTGCCGGAATAACGTTGTGCTCTTTCAGATGTGGGATTATGCGCGTGAGAAGGCATTTTTCGAGTAGTTTTGACAGACACGAGAGTAAACTTATCGGTCTGCATATAGCTGGTATTGTGTGATCTTTTCCTGGCTTTGGGATCATTATGATTACCGACTATTTCCAATTTTTGGGAAGTAGCCAAGTCGTTTAATCCCGTTAAAAAGTTTACAAATTACCTCAACTGCACAGTTTGGGAGTTCAATTAGCATCTTAGGAGTTATCAGATCACCTCCTGGGGCCTTTTTAGTTTTTAATTGTTCGCTGATGACTTTTGAAACTTCGTTTGGTTGAAACAGAATTGGCGCCGTCTCAGTTCCAATTTGAATTGACGACGACGGTAGTGTGAATGAATTATTTGCAGGGTTTGGCTGAAAAACATTTCGAAAGTGTAAAGCAAATGTACAAGCTCTGTCTTTGTCGCTTCTGGCCCAGCTGCCTGAAGAGTTTCTTATGGGAGTTACTGTTTCGGCCGGCGCACTTAGATTTGGGGTGGCCCTCCACAAGGGATTTTTGGTGCTGGTGGGTGAAAATCTCTCAATGTACTGGCGTTGTGCTTTTTCTTCTTCGTGCCTTAGAGCCCTGGTAAGTATGCGACCAGCTTCCTTAATAATATGTTTTGAGGATGGCGATCTGCTGGTTTGCCAAGCACGCCTCAAACGCCTTTTCTCCAAAACAAGCTGTTCGATTTCAAGGTTAGTTTTGTGCTGGTGTGTGTGCCCATCCCTCCCTTGCGGTGTAGAGATTTTGGCTGCTGCGACGAGTACAGACTCCAATGCATCGACATAGCAGTCGATGTCCTCCTTGATGTTGAGCTGTGGAGTTAGTTCAATGTGGGAACTTACGTACTTTTTGAACTTCAGCCAATTGGTTCGATGCGACGTCAGCCTGCAAGGGTGCTCGATTAGTTCCAGGTTTTGAAGAAAATTTATTAGCTCTGGTGAGTGGTCCCATGATAGATCCAAAAGCGATTTTGCAGATATTAGATTGCGAGGAATGTTTTTTGTCACAGCAAAATCAATTAAATCAGGTAGTTTCCTAGGATCTGTAGGCCAGTATGTAGGACTGCCTAGTAAAACGTAGTCCAGTTTGTTGCATGTTTTGATGAGTGCATTATATAGTTGCCTTCCTTTGGGGGTCACAAGGCGGGATCCCCAGTGTGTGCTTGGCGTTGTAATCACCTGCTGCTATAAATCGCTCTCCAAGTGAATTGTAGAAGTCCATGAATTGGTCTTCGGAGACTTTCAAGCGGGGTGGGCAGTAGACAGCGGCAATGACAAGGTTGCAGTTGCCCAATTGTAATTTTACCGATGTAGCTTGCATATATTTTTTTGCAAACCGTTGGTGAAAGTGCCATGTGCTTTACCATCTGGATGATCGGTGCCGTAGAACGTGTATCCCCGTATTTGAAAGTTATATTTGCTGGTGAGATGCTTTTCTGCCAGCAACATAACGTCGATGTGGTTTTCGTTCAGAAATTGAGTTATTTCAGGTATATGCCGTGAAACACCGTTGGCGTTCCACAGATTTATTCAAAGGCTAGGCATAATTTATTTGGACTCCTGAGCTGCAAGCATTTGACAAGTTATTTTGGTTTTGTATTAGAGTTTGCATGTTGGTTTTCATGAAGGACATAAATTCCATCATATTTTGTTGCAAAGTTACCATCATTGTTTCCATGTTACTTTGTGACTGCCCCATGGCCTGCTGCATGCTATCGATTTTCGGCTCTATGTGAGCTGTGCCTGATCTTAGCTGGCGTAGGTGGTAATTGAGGGCCCAAATGATGACTTGGCTGCTTTTGCGAAGAAAACTTCCGGTGTCGTTTGTGATTTCATGTAGATGTTCTGGCGCGCCGTTGAGGGTGCAGTAAGCCCTGGTGTGTCCGTATTTCTGGCAATTTGTGCATTGCACTGGTCCGTTCCGTTTGTGCAGCTCTTCTACTGTAGAAGGTACTGCAACTTGTAGATTGGGTGCACTGCGTTTTTTTTCAAAGTTCTGCTGTCGGGCTCCAGCTCGACCTTGAAAAGTGGTTGCGGCTTATTGTTTTTGTTTATAATATTTATAACATATTTTGCGCAAAAACCGTTTTCTTTTAAAGCCTCTATAATTTCGGAGGGGTTCACATCGGGTTCTATTCCCTTGAGCACAACTTGTAAGCATTTGCAACTTTTCAGCTGGTACATGTCGTAATTCTTTTTTTTTTCTGTTTTGGTTTGAAGTTTGGTTTCGCTTATACAATGCCATAAGTGGAAAACCATGAAAGTTATCTTTTCCGACAAGCTCAACTATTTTGTTGACTAGGACGTTGGAGATCTTCTCCCGAACAAAGATAGGTTGTGGCTTAAGTTTCTTTGGGGCTAATTCTTCATACTCTGTTTCAGGCTCCGCCAGAATGGAAAATCTATTTTCATTTAATGGGCCGAGATTTTCAGGCCTTTGTTGGTATATATATTTTCGGCATATTGCCGACAGATTTTTTGGGGGTGTTAGCTTGAGCTTGGAAATATTAATGTAGCGATCCATGCCTGTCTGCATGGCCGAACCCGCTTGCCGAATTGTCATTTCACCTACCGTACCTTTGTTTTTGCCGTTTGACCCGATTTTTGCACTTAGTTGTATTGTTGCTTTAACCGCGACAGAGACCATTGTGGTTGACGTAGTAGTTACTGTTGTTGTTGCACTAGGTGGCAGAAGCTCGGTTGGAGTTTTGCATTGTTCACTCCATGGCGTTTGAGCGGTGAAAAGTGGGGCGGGAGAGCAAGAACTAGCTCTCTGGTTTTCGGCGGTCAGTAAACTTGCACTTTCGGTTCTAGAGTATTACTCGTGAAAGAGAAATAAGCATTGTTACGGGCCAAGGAGAGATGAAGTTTGTCTTGCTCTCTCTGAGCTTTTTCACGGGCTTCGTCTTGTTGTTTTTGGCGTTGAGTGCGCTGATCCACGTTCTTACTCATTTGTTTATTATTAGTGCGTTAAGATTAATTAATTAATAAATTAATTAAAACTTTAGTTAACGATATGAGAATAAGCATCGCGAATCGCAAAACCTGGCTGATTTTTGTGCTGTCTTTGTTTTCTTTGGTTTCTTTTACATTGTTCAAGGCCAGTACTTATTCCCAGGGAAATTAGCTATGCTTGTTGGCAAAATATATTATGATATTTTTTTTGTTTGTTAATTTAAATTTTCTTGTTAATTAAGATATAACGTTTTTAGGTTTCACAATTATTTCAGCTAAATAATTGGTGGGATAGCAGAACCAGTTATTCTGGCAATAATTTTTTTCTATCCATTGTTTTTTTTTCGCCGTTCGCCTACTTTAGCCGGCTTTTGATAAAAGGGAAGAGCGGCAAGCGAACATCTTATGAAGCTGAGGAGGTCATTGATCTCTAAGTTTGAAAGTGCGGAAAGCAGTAGAACAATAACAGTCACGGGTATCTAACTAGGAGCCATTTAAAATTTAAGGGCTCAGTGTTTTTAAATTTAGAAAGAATAATAATGTCGGACGATGAGAAAGCCGCTGGCTCTGCACCCAAATGCGTTTTATGCGAAAACACCTTGGCTTCGGCACCGACGCTGCAAATTAAATGTGGCCATAAATTCCACAAAGCCTGTTTCGAGTCGTATGCCAAGACCAAAAATGCTTGTCCGATCTGCAAAGAGACTCCTCACGATACCAGACAGCGTAAGCGGCAAAACACGCCTAAGATATATTCAGGCTTGCGATATTTGCAAAATGGCAAAAGCACCAAATTGTATACAACGACCGCTAATGGATACTTCTCCGGAAGCCCAGCGATTCTTTCAGAGGCTGTTTGTGGACTTTCTCGGACCATATCCCCGTTTTAGAAGTGGGAATATAGGAATTTTTATAGTCCTGGAACACTACACGAAGTTTGTGTTTTTGAAAGCTGTGAAGAAACTCAAAACGGATGTGGTGATCAAATATATGCAGCAGGATCTTTTTCACACTTTCGGAGTGCCAGAAACTATTGTGTCTGACAACGGTTCCTAGTTTAAATCCGAGTCATTTCAAAAGATTCTGCGGGAAAATAAGGTAGGCCATACTCTTACCGCAGTTTATTCTCCGCAAGCCAATGCGTCTGAAAGGGTGAATCGGTCCGTGATAGAGGCAACCCGTTCTTATGTTCGGATCAGAAAGATTGGGATGAGCAGCTTAGCAGCATTTGTTGTGCATTGCGGTCGGCTGTCCATTCAAGTATTGGCACTTCGCCTTACTATATGGTTTTCGGACAGCATTATATATCTTCAGGTTCGACTTTTAAACTATTGAGGAATTTGCAAATGTTGGAAGATAGGTCAGCGATGTTTACCCGAGAGGACTCGCTGGATACAATTCGTAGCAAGGCCTGCGAAGTAATGAGGAAGCTAAATAAAAAGGACTTGCGCCAGTATAATCTGCGTTCCAGGGATGTGTCTTACGCGGTATGGTAAGAAGTGTTTAGACGTAATTTTAAACAAAGTAATTTCGTGGTACGATACAATGCCAAGTTAGCTCCACCTTACTTAAAGGCCAGAGATAAAAAGAGAGTTGGCCAATCATATTACGATCTAGAGGACCTGCAAGGGAAGTTTGTTGGCCGGTATCATGCAAAGGATATGAAGCAGTAGTCAAGCTGCCCTTTACTTTGGTTTATCTGTCTTGGAAGTGTGACCCCCAAGACAGATCTTTAGCGGGGGGTATTTGTAGCGCTTGGTGCAGCTGCAGATGGTCCAACGCCATCTAGATACAACGCCATCAAGATCTCGGTGGGGAGAATCGGTGGCCTGGCAGGGTTAGATCAATCGGGGTAACAGGGCGAATTGTCAGACTTTCTCTGAGTGAGAGAATTTCTCAATTTAGGTGGAGAGATAGGCTGCCGCCTTTATTGCGGCGTCACTAGCCGCCATTCCTAGTTTGGCATCCAAAGTGATTAGTTGAGTCAAGAAGTGGTGTTTAAGATAAAATCAAAAGTAAAAGTGCTCAATCAGCAGAGGCAACCACCAATAGCAGCAACAGGTATCACGGCAAAGGAGCCCAAAAGGAAGATCCAAGTGGGATTCCGGCCAAGTCCAGGGGTGAGTAAGAAGCTAATGAGGTCTTTAAGATTTTCTAAGGGGGCTCATTTTATTGCATAGGTGTTGGCCAAAAAGTGCCGCCCCAAGTCCCAAGAAGCCACATTATTAATCGGCGAAGGCAAGCGCAACCTGTAAAATCGGCGAAGGCAGGCACGAGTTTTTTTTGCATTACTGTGAAGCCACCACAGCGCAAAAGCCATTAAAGATCGCCGCTCCAAAAGGAGAAGGAGAGGACCACGGACGGACGGCCGGCAGAAGCATAAAAGTAACCGGCGATCAAATCAGTGTCCGGCGAGAGAGCAAGCGTTTCGCAAAAGTAGACGATGGCGTTGAAAGTTTCGTCGTGCTAAGGAAAGGAGCGTAATATTTGCCCATAGTTTGATTTTCAGCCCCGAGTAAAGTTTTTTCTATTCTATTAATTTTCGGTATACAAATGGAGTGAGTTATCTAGTGAGTAAGTGAAAACAAGGAATGTGTGGCGATTTTAGAGTTTAATTTTTTGGTAGCTTAAAAAAAAATGAATAAGGCTTGTACTAACAAAAAAATAGCCAAAAAAGAAAAAAGTACGAGCGTTCCTTTAGCGGTATCGGGAAATGTTTAAATAAATAATGTTTATGTTCCTCCCAAACAGCAGACTACCATCGCCGAAAGCGCTTTCATTGATGGATGCTTAAAGGAAATTGGTGAGTGATGAGCTCAAGAGAGCATTATTAACCCAGTATAAATCCAAATATTAACCCTATATGAATGTTCCTATATTGCGTATATTTATTCATTCGAAGCAAATCTCTTAGTAATTTTGTTACAAAAAAAAAAATAAATAAATTATACGCTACCGTTCGCTAGGCCCCTTTGAAAAAAAAATGTAAACAAAAGCAAAAGAACCAAAAGAATTTTAATGCATTTATATGTTTGTGCGAACGCAACCCAATCGCCGTTTTAAAGTACTTTGCCTTAAGCAATTAATTTGTCCAAGATGGATTTTATTGTGTCATGGTTTAACGTTAATTTTATTTATCGCATTTTGATAACATTGATAAATTTGTAACTATTATTTATATTTACCGTTATATACGTTAGTGCATGTTGTTTGCGCACTCAGCGCTTGTATTTAAATCACTAGTTGTAGGGCGAGAGCGGGAGCCAATAAAGCTTTCGTCTGTTCGCTCCTGCGAATTCGCCCCGTCTCTCGCCACCGTAGCATAAGTTAGGTTCTAAGAGAAATTATTGAAATATAATTGTTAGTGATCCATCGAACACCATCGAAGCCACTCCTTTTCGTCGCGCTTTCGACATAGTTTTCACAATATTTCGCAAATTTAAATCTTCTCGACATACTGCGTTCACAAAGTTTTCGCGTTATTAATACAAAATAGTATTAAATTTTCATGGTGACCAGCAGTAGAGTTCGTGAGTTTTTTTTCGGTAAAAAACTATAAACAATACCAACAACAACCAATTTATTCGTGTCGGTTCGGGCAATAAATTAAATTCATTAATTTCGTCGCTGGAAATTTTCTGCCGTTCTTGAAGTTGCGCCTGACGTTTCGGCAAATTTAATTGCTCAATTTGCTGCTGCAAATTGAAGGTTAATCTGTGGCGTTTTGTCAATTGTGTATCGGCCCATCTTTCAACTTTTTGCATTCGTGTAAAAATCGGTAGATAGTGAGCATTCTAACCAAAAAAAAAAATTTGCATGTACTAACAACCAAAATTCTACAATAAACATAATATATTTCGAATTATATGTGAATCGCTTTGGCCAAAAAACAAGCAGTAAAATACTCGTCGTCGACCCAATAGTGCGAACTTAATTCCCCCAACTTTCGTCGTAGTGAGCACCAATTTAGGGTATAAATAAAAATAGCTAGAAAAAAGTGCAAATTGTGAAAAGTGTAGCTCTCAGAAAATTAGCGGCAATAACTTTCGCCGCAGTTTGTCCGAACATTTCCCGCGCTTTTCCAATTTTTCCGCGCTTTTCATAATTTTGCGTGCATTTTGGCATCAGGCTTATATATTCGTTGCCCTTAGTTATCGGTCAGTGTATCATTCTCCGTTAGCATCTGCATAGGAAGAGCCGCTAGCCGCATACACATACACACGCACACCGACACCGCTGCCGCTATTTCGAGTTATCTTTTGTCGTTTTCGTTCTCGATCTCTGCAGCAGTGCAATTTTCGGTCTGTCTAAACATTTGTTCGTTTTTTCGGTACGCTTGAGCTTGAGCGGTAGCTCCCCTACAGTGCGTGCGTGCGGCATATACTGTCGCAGGGTTTATATAAAAAATATAAAAACCCTATTTAGATTTTTCGCTGTAATTCTCTCGGCACTTAGCTCCCTTACACCGTGATTTTTTATTTTATTATAATAAAAATAAATATTTAACACCTCTTCTATACCAACCAAATAAATACAAATAAACGCAATGGCAACTAAGGATATCGAAGAGCTTAAACACCAACGAGATGTTTGCATGAAAAGTATTAACCGAACTTATCGCCACTTAAAAGAAGCTAAATTATCTATAAATCCGGTCGAGCTTGAGTGTCAATTAGAGATTCTAAATACGCACACTGAAAATGCTTCACTTTTGCAAAACCAAATAGAAGTGAAAGATACAAAAGATGTATATCGCGAAGAGTTGGAAGAGAGGGCCGTAATGACAAAGTCATTGCTGATTTCAATTTTAAATAAGTCCAAACAAAATAATATCGAGAAATCCGCTCCGCCAGCAAATCGCCCGCCTCAATGCCGTCTGCCGAGCGTTGCTCTCCCAACTTTTAGCGGAAAACACTCCGAATTTAAAAATTTTATAAGCCTTTTCGAAACATTCGTTGACAAAGATGACACTTTACACGATATTGAAAAATTCAATCATTTAATTTCGTGTTTAGCTGGAGACGCTTTAGGAACAGTTAGGGCCTTCCAAGTCACTGCGGAAAATTATCCCAAAGCCCTTGCTAGCCTGAAGCGGGTGTACGATAATGATTGTCTTATTTTTTTTGACAACATATCGACACTTTTTAATTTGCAAAAAATTTCCCAGCCTTCAGCTACAGCCTTGAGAACCCTCATCGACACAGTCACAGCCTTGTATGACTCCTTGCTGTCTATTGGGGATGATAGACGCATTACTAATGCCATTTTAATACATCTGGTAATGAGCAAGGTCGATGCAGGAACTAAAAGAAAATGGGAAGAACAGTTAGATTATACTTCGCTTCCAATTTGGAGCGAATGTGAGGCGGCCCTCAACAGGCGATACCAACACATGGTAGCAGAAGAGGCTTCCAAGCCCAAAACTGTTCAGCAGGCCCAATCTAACCCTAAGAAGAATGGAAATAGGAGTTTTTCGTTTGTCGCTGCCAGGAACGACTCTGTTCAATGCATGTATTGCAACTCAGCTGAACATCAGATTGTAAACTGCGCTTCCTTCGCAGCCCTGACAGTTCAGCAAAGATTCGATTTCGCTAAAAGAGCACCCTTATGCATTAACTGTTTAAGAAAGGGTCACACTGTCAAAAAATGCAAATCGAACAGATGTAGAGTGTGCAATTCCTCACATCACACTTTGCTACACATATATGCGCCAAACACAAATCTCGCGTTGCCACCTCCTTCTCAGCCCACGCTCATGCAGGAGTCTCCATCCACTTCGCATGTTTTGCATGCGAATGCATCGGATCGAGTCATTCTTGCAACTGCTGTTGTGAGTGTCCAAACAAAAAGCGGCGAGTTTGTATTAGCTCGAGCGTTGCTCGACCCTGGTTCACAAATAAACTTTGTAACCGACGAGCTCGCTCAGAGGCTCAAAATTGCAAGAGAGGACGTGTGCATGAGCTTGCGAGGCATTGGTGGAACTAATGCCCAAGCCACAAAAAAAATACACACGATTGTGAAGTCGCGAGTAGGGAACAGCCAATTGTCGTCCGATT